AGTCATCTCTTTTTGTTCTAAATTACTTCTGGACTAATTTATTCTTAAGCTTCATCAGGGTTGCTTTTACACAGGCAATATAGAGAGTTCTAACATGATGTATTATCATATCCACGTAGGGTAAAACAGATGCTATAACTTGAATGTTAGCTTGAGTTGGGCTTATTCTTTAGACAGTGTATATGCCATAATCATTGATAATAAACATCAGGAAGATTAATCTGATAGACATGAAAAGTGAGTAGTACAAATTGAAGAAGAGAGTAAGGAAGTAGAGTTCATTGAACACTATAGTAGAGGTTATGAGAATCTAGATTCAGGAGATTTTATTTTTTAGTCCAAATATCCTGTAAACATAAGATATGGTTATTTGTGGGGAACAAAAGAGAGAAGAATAGAAAGTAACACTAGGTCCCTCATGAATTGCTGGTGGGACTGTAGCATGGTACAGCTACTGTGGAAAATAGTTTTGTCATTCCTCAATAACTCAAACATAGAATTCCCATATTATCCAGCACTTGCATTCCTGAATATATACTCAAAAAAAAAAAAAAAAGATGTTCAAACAAAAATATGTACTTGAATTTTTATAGCAGCACTATTCAAAATAGCCATAAGGTGGAAACAACCCAAATGTCTATCAGCAAATGAATAGATAAACAAATGTGGTATACTCATACATTGGAATATTATTCATTAATAAAAAAGAATGAAGTGCTAATACATGCTACAGTATGAATGAACCTTGAAAATATTATTCTAAGTGAAAGAAAGCATATACAAAAGGCCATATATTGTATAGTGTGAAGTATCTGGAAAAGGCAAACCCATGACAGGAAGAAGGTTATAGCTACCAGGGACTAGACACAGTGGGCAGTGGGAGCAGCTGCTTAACAAGTACAAGTGTTCCTTCAAGAATGATGAAAATATTTGGGAAATAGAGAGCAGTGATGGTTACACAACATTATGAATACACTAAATGCCCCTGAATTATACATGTTAAAATGGTAAGTTTTATTCAATGTGTATTTTACCTTAATTAAAAAAAAAAAAACTCAAAATTAAGCTAAGTTTAAAAATAAAAGAATACTAGGGCAAGAATCATAGACTTAAATGCTTTCAGGTCCCTGAGAGGTGCAGTAAACAGAGTAAAGAAGTTATAAGAAAGGGAATGTGGTGAACTGGGCATTTGAAGTCAAATGTTTTTGAAACCTCTGTGTGACCCAAATAAAATGTGACTGTGGGCTGTGGTTTTCAACCTCTGCTACAAATTGAACTGAGTAACAATGACTGGTGATGACGAGTAGATAGCTGACAGTATAACTAGAGTTAAAGTTCCATATGAGTAGAGGATAAATCCAAGTTGTTGACCCCTATCGTCACCATATAGCATGATGCCTAGCCGACACACATATATAGATGCTCAGCAGACATTTTTGGATGAAAAATAAATAAGTAAATAAGTAAAGGCTGAGCAGAAAGTCTGTATGCTTTTTCTTAGTCAATCCATCTTCAAATCAGTACCCATAACTAATTAATTTGCAAATGTATACTCACTTTCAGATTGAGCCTTAGTAATAACTATTAAGAGATATTATTGTGGCCAAGTTTTATGAAAACCATTATCTAGTTTTAGTTTTAGTAAAAAATGATTAAGATCCTGAAACTTCTTTTTCCCTTTCAAAAATAGCCTCACAAACCTATTTGAAAATGGAATGTTAATACATGACAGGCAGGCAACAAGTTAATTCTTAGATTCTGCTTGTATTTGTCAGATCGTTTTAGAGCTCTGTTAATTATAACTTGTAAATTCTAATCAGGCCATAGTAAGAGGCTAAATAGAAGGTTATACTTTTACCCTCCTCCCCATTTCCATACTCTAAGAGACTAAAATAAACACATTGACATTACACTCAGAATAAAAATAAACATTTTAGGGTCACATAATTGAGAAATACATTTTTAAGGAGGAAACACTGATTAAGATTGTAGTTTTAAAAAACAAAGTTTTTTTGTTGTTTTGTTTCCTTCTACAAAAGATTTTTTTCTTTTTAAATTATGTGTTTGCTGAGATGTTTATTTTTACTTGAGTAAATTCCACTGTATGAAAGTTTGAGGGAGCGTGTTTAAACCAACACTTAGCTTACTAAAGTCGTGAGGCATCTCTTACCATAATTACATGTAGATCTTTAAAATGACAGACTGTAGACATGCATGCTGATAAATCTACACTGAAAAAGAAAAATATTTTAAATTTATGGTGGATTCTCCCAAACACCATGATCAAATCTACTTATTTAAAAGTATTATTGTTAGGTTGAAAATGAATTAGTATGTATGAAAATTTTTTGGAATTGCTTTTAAATGTAAACCATTTTTTTTAAATAACCTAATTAACATTTTACCTATGCTAACCCCAAACAAAAACATTTTTTTAAATTCTCCAATTGCATCAGATTCACCATTATTTCTAAGCATTTAAATGTTTTTACAATATTGCTTAAACCAGGGGTCAGCACATCACAGCCCAGACAGACTGCCTATTTTTGTAAATAAAGTTTTATTGGATCACAGCTACACCTGTACATTTAGGTATTGTCAATGGCTGATTTTTTGTTAAATTGACAGTTGAAGAGTTGACAGCAGAGAACATATAGCCTACAGAGCCTAAAATATTTCCTGTTGGACCCTTTGAGTAATAATTTGGGGATCCCTAGTTTAAACCATACTGCTATCTAATAGTTTATCATTATAATCAAAAAGCAGTTATTTATTTACCTAAAACCCAAATGTGAAAGATGGTTTTTTCACCTTGCAAAGCTTTCCTATCAGCAGCTAAGAATCTAAAGCTATATAAAATGTGAAGTTGGCCATTCTTTCATCCATTCATTGCTCAGTTTTCACAAGTGAAATTTCATTCTTGTTTTCTATAAATTTGAAAATCACTACATAATAAAAAGGTCCAATATGTGTCCCCTGCTCCCCCACCTCAAAAGAATTTGAAATAGAAAGGATTTTTCTCTGTGATAGTGACCTTTTCTCTCTACTTGATTCCAATCCATAATATCAAACATAGAAACTCTCATTCCCTTTTCTTTCAAAGGACTCAGATTGATTTATTTGCCTCGTTATTCACTTATGCATCTCTTTAAATTATACATAGTATGTGCTTAATTAGTAATTACTGAGCATAATAGCAATTGCATATTATGAAAGTAACTATAGCTCAAAAAGCACAGGAAATAATGGAACAACTCTCAGAAGTTCACCTAACTGAAGCAGAAATAAATGCTACTTCTACTTACTTTGGCTACAGAGTGGTAGAATTTTAGAGCGTTAGATCAGAATGTGTTATGGAGTCATAAGGGAGCAACGGTTCTTAAACTTGATATGTATTAGAATCTGAATGGCTCATTGAAATGCAGAATACTGAGCCAACACTCTAGAGTTTCTGATTCAAAAATTCTGTTTCTGATATGAGCCTGAGAATTTTCATTTTTAAGAAGTTTCTAATTGATGCTGATGCTGCTTACTGGTGACCATACTTTATGAACAACTGTAATAGAAGAAGGAATGGCTGGCCACTCAGGCATTACCTCAGAGAGTTATAGGATAGTGTACGGTCCTCAGCCTTTTAGTATATCCATGGGAGATCGGACACTGTGACTCATACTATTGAAACCTAAGAAACATAAATAAGCCAATTTATGTTTCTTCTCCATTTCTTGTGGCTGCCGGGAGAACCAGATATTTGGGATGACAGAGCATAGCCTCCTATACCCTATACCTTGATGGAGACCCTGACAAATTCTGTGGCTCCATTTATGTGAAATTCTAGGGGAAGCGAAACTAATCTTCATTGGGGAAAAAAATCAGAGTAGTGGTTGCCTTAGGGGTGGTAGGATGGAGATCGAGTATTATAAGGAATTTGAGGGATTTGGGGGTTGATCAAGGACAAGGACATGACCATTGGGACAGAGTTGCATGAGAAATGAAGTCCCTCACAGCATGAGACTGTCTTAGAGGCTTGTGACCAAAGGACAATCATCCATCAGGAGAAGTGGGTAAGGGAACTCCCAAGGTGATGGAGACTGAGGATGGTGTTCCTGGACATTACATATCTAGGTGAAGTCATTCAGTAGCAACGTGGGGAGTCCGTTGGTCAGAGAACTCCAAGGGGCAGTAGTGACTTGAGGTTTTACAACCACTAGGCTCTATCTTATCAATGGCTAGCAGATGTTGGTTGTAGTTTTGTGGCGTATACAAAGCAGGCAAGATATAAATGGCTGAAAATCTGCCTGTTTGTTCTATTTGGGGTATATAAAAATAAGTTTGCTTTCAGCAAACTTTTGAATTAATGAGTCTCAGCCTGCACTGAGGAAATAAACAACCAAGGGGTATTACACAGAGACTATCTTCAGCTAACTTATCTAACAACTGAGAAGGGACAGAGCAAATTTGTTGGAGTGGTGATAATATTCTGTATCTTGATAAGGGTTAGATTACACAGGTGAAATATTTGTCATTGAATATATACCTAATATTTGTGTATTTACTTGTGCATACATTTTTCAAAATTACAAATATTGAACTTTACTTAAAGATATGCATGCTGAAGTACTTAAAGGGAATTGTACTGCTGTATGCAGTTTACACTGAAATGCCACAAATAAAATGGATTACTGAGTAGACAAAAGGATAGACAGTTGGACAGGTATATGACAAAGCAAGTATAGTAAAATTTTAATTGTAGAATGTAGGTTAGAGTATACCTATGTTTCTTATAAAGCTTACACTTTGCTTTAAGTTTGAAAATTTTCCAAGTGAATTGTTAAAGACTAAAGTGTGAGATAGACTGGGGATTGGTTAGGAAACGATGCCAATGCATTAAAAAAATTACAGTTTTATATTTCTTGACCAACTATAAGCTATAATTTTGGAGACATTCAATCCTCTATTTGATCATTTGACTAAAGATCTGGGTGTTTGGTCTGTTACAGGGAAAGTCCTTCCTCTGGCATGGACACATGTGCATTTCTGTCATCATTTACATGCTCCAATAGGACTCTGCTAATTGATGGCAAAGTAGAACTCAAAAGAGGCCTGCAGAGACAAGAGCGGCATCTTTTCCTGTTCAATGATCTGTTTGTTGTGGCTAAAATCAAGTAAGTATACTGTATATTCTCCCTCAGTTATCATTATAAAACTGTACTTCCACAAACAAAGATAGCCTTTCTATTCAGTGCTTACTGTAAGAATGTCTGGCTTCTATTACCATCTAATATCTGAAGTGAGTTCTATGTTTGTGTTTTGGTTTTGATTTTGCAAAAATAATGTTTCAATCATTTATTCATTCAATAAGTGTTCATTTAGGTCTCACCAGTGCCATGCTCTGAATAAATATAGAGGATGAATGAAGAAGGTGATGGGTATGGTCCCTGCTTTCTCAGTGCTTCATTCTAAGGTGTGAAGGCAGGAGAAAATTCCAGATTGTGATTAGTGCTAAGAAAATAAGGTGCTGGATGGAGTAAAATATGGGATATATGTTAGGTAGGTGTAGTCAGGGGATAAAAATGATTGACAGGTGAAAAGCAACCAGCCATTGAGATATTAGAGGATCAGCATTCTACACAGAGGGAATTTCAGGTACAAAGGCAATGGGGAAAAGTTTGGCCCTTTGGAGGAGTTAAAAAGCCTATGTGTGTAACTAGAGCATAATAAGCAGCAGGAGAGTAATATAATTTGTGATTGGAGAAATAGATAAGGATCAAGTTGTAGGCTGTTTAGTTATTACCTATTGCTATAAAACAAATTACCACAAAACATAACAATTTATTACTACAAACATCTCATACAGTGTCTCTGAGTCAGGAATCTGGGAGTGGCTTAGCTGGTACTTCTGGCTCAAAGGCCCTCATGAGGTTATAGTCAAGCTGTTGACCAGGGTTATAGTCATCTCAAAGCTTGATGAAAGCCAAAGAATCCACTACCCAGCTCATTCATGTGAATGCTGGCAGGCTTCAGTTCTTCGCTGGCTGCTGATCTGAGGCTGTAGCTCTTCTCCACGTGAGTCTTTCCACAGGGCTACTCATAACATGATATTGCTTCCTTCGGAGAGAAAGATCCAAGAAAGAGAGTTAGGAAGAGAGTAGGTGAGAGAGAGAATGCCCCAAATAGAAGCCACAGTCTTTTATAACCTATTTTTGGAAGTGGCATATGATCATCTCTGACGTATGCTATTGGCCACACAGACCAACCTTGCTACAGTGTGGAAGGGAACTACACAAGGGTGTGAATACTGGGAAGCAGGGACCACTGGGGGCCATCTTGGAGGCTAGGTGCCATAAAGGCTATGATAAGGGGGCTGGATTTTATCTCAAGGAGTTTTAATTAGGGGAGTAGCATAACATGGTTCATATTTTTAAAATATGGTTCTGGCTACGATAGCTAATGGATTAGAGGGTAGGCAAGGAGACTGGAGAGGAGGTTATTGTATAGTCCTGATGAGAGATAGTGAGGGCTTTAATTGAGGAAATGACAGTTCAGCAAAGGATACAGACATTTTTGGAATATACTTTAGGGGTAACCAAAAGAATTCACTTTTTGCTCAATACTAAATGCCAGTACAATGAACACCCAGCCTAGAACATGGTAGTTGCTATTTGCTCCATCACCCATTCTCATTTTTTATGAAACTTCATAAAAGATAAAAGTATTTTTACAAATCTAATCTCATCAAAGAGATCTTTAGTCACTAAAGAATGGTACTCTCACACCTATGTTATGCCATGTTATCAATGAGACACGAGCTTGGCTAAATACTAATTTTGTGAAATACTCTATTCTATCTGAATGGCATTAATAACAATAAAGACCTCACATTTATTGGGATTTTATTGTATGTTGGGTATTTTTCTAGAGACTTTAACTCCTAACCATTTGATCGGGTGGCTATTATTTTTCTCATTGTACAGAGGACATTGATACTCACAGAAGTGATGTGACTTCCTCAAGATCACAAAGTTAGTAATTAGTTGAGCCCACATTTACACCTAGGTCTACCTTATTTCAAAATCCATGCTTTTAAACATATATGGTCTGCTGTCTCTATTTCTTACCTCTTTTCTTTTGGGTTTCTTATAAGATTCCTTAATCATTTAGTTTCTTTTTAACAATTAAATCAGTCTTTTGTGGTGAGTAAAAGGATCTAACTAAATACTCATCTTAAATAGTGTAGCATGCTTAGTGAACTGTTATTATATTTTTTAAAAATTAGAGGCAAAAAAAAACTATTTCAGAATGTGTTGTGCTATATTCCTAATTGCCATTAAGAAATAAGATTTTAAAAAGGAGAAAGAAATAAAACTTATCTTCAATTTAGTGTTTCCTTCTAAAAGATTTGTAGTTTCAGTTTTATATTACATAACTGCTATTAAGAAATACTTTTTTATTAAAAAAAGATTTTATCTTCAATTGAGTGTTTCATTAAAAAAATCAAAAGATGCATAACAATTGTTTGGAAAATATTCAAATGAAATACAGAAAGAAGCCATTGTGCCACCAAACGCTTTTCTATGACACTTACCTTAAGTGTGCCCTACGGGAAGCATAAATGAGACTGTGAATCCTGATTATCCTTCATGTGTAATTCCTGTGGAATGCTTTTTTGTTTTATAAATCCTACTGAAGAGTTTTAGCTTTACATATTCCACGAGGAGTTTTAAGAATACTTCCATATGTAATAGCTTTGATTTCATTTTAGCCTTTAGTGTTTTCGCAAATGGTTCTAAATGATAGGAAGTACCCAGGTTTCCCGAAGCATTTTCTTTATCCATCCCTGTGCCTTCTAACTATTTAAATCTTATGTCCATTTTAAGCATTAAATTTGTGATTGGATTAAGAGAGATGGTGGTATCAATATCAAAGTTCTAAGAGGAATTAGGTAGAAATTGTCAAAAAGCAATTTCATTGCCAACTTAAAGTAGGTCACCTTCTTGATCCCTAAAGATAAATATTAATTGTGTCAACTCTACTTAAATATAATTCTTATTGTCCTCTTTTTTTTTTCAGCCAGAGTATAAGGAGAAATGATGGAAACAATCTTTTTTTAAACAAAATCTGCTGATTTTGTTTAAAATAATTAGGAAATTTAAAATAACCTTAGCTTCTAAAGACTAGAAAGTCCTTTAACCACTCAGCTGGAAATTTATTATAAATTCCTCTAATTAATCCCAGGTTATATATTTTAGTGCATCTATCTTTGTTAAGGTAAAAATTTTATAAAAATTTTAATAAATAATGTGTATTTTTAATCTTTTGTTCAGGCAGTCAAATCTTTTTGGAAGTAAGCAAATTATAAATAGCAAATGAATCAATTTTTCATAAATGCAGTAAATTTAAAATTAGGATTTTGATACAAATGTGATGGTCAACATATTGTAAAGTAACCAGTTTATGACTATTTGCTGCCATAAATGCAGGCATGAAGACTAATACACCAAAGGTTTTAAAGGTCTTTTTGGGCCTAGATAGCCAACCATGTTACAATTTACTACAGTAGGTACTGAAGATAAAAACAATGAATAAGACATTGTTTTCACATAATTAGTTTACACTGTCTTATCACAAGTACAGAAACACTCATAAAATTTAAAAGACAAAATAACAAGAAGGCCTGCCTGATTTTTATCTTTCTAGATATAACAACAACTTTAAGATAAAAAATAAAATAAAATTAAGTGACATGTGGACAGCAAACTGTGTTGATGAAGTGGAAGAAGGCAACACCAATACCATGAAATCCTTTGTCTTGGGCTGGCCCACAGTGAACTTTGTGGCCACTTTCAGGTGAGAACCATAGCTTGTTCTGTATTTACATGGGTTAGCCACTGTGAAATACAATCACCTATGTAATTTCTAGGACGAAGAGAAAAAAAGTTAAATTTTGTCCTCCTAATTTTTTAAAGGAAAATATTTTATTCTGATTGAGTTATTCTGTAGGCAGTAACTCATCTTTTGGCACAGCCTCAATAAAGACACTTGTATACCATATGTTTCTCTCGAGGAGCTCTTTATTAAAATATGTAAAAAATAATGGTTAATATTGAGAACTCTGGGAATTCTTTATCTGGTTTGACTCCTGATTTTTAAAGGGACTTGTTAAAATACCATAAGGACTATGGAAAAGGAATAGTTTATCAGAGTCCTAGGACTCTACCCCACTCAAACATCCTCTACCCTAATGTGTAGATACTGTTTTACATATTGAGTTTTTGAGTTGCCTCTTTCTAAATATTGAAATAAACCTTTACTGAAAAAAAATTATAAAAGAGTCCAATTAAATTTGGATGACTGCTTGTACTCCCAAATTTTCTAAAGAAATTGTTTTTATAGAAATAAAATTAATGTCATGATATAATGGGATGGCTGAATTGTACATCAGGTTCTGATTTGGCATCTATAGAGGTGTGACAATCAAAAGCAAATTTATGATTCAAGAAATGAAAGTTAATTTTCTAAGACTCACTCATAGCTAGGATAGGGTTGAAAAGTATATGAATAGAGAATTTTTGTGCTCTTATCCTCAGATGCTAAACTGGCACTATCCAGTTCAAGATGAGCATACCAAACTTATATCTGTGATTTTGAACAACTGTACCCTCAAGGCCAGCATTTGCTTTCCACTTAAAGAATTGTTGTTCATCATATGCACACAATGTTATGTTTTCTTTTGTTTGCTTCTTCCCTTCCCACTACCACCAAACTTTTTAGGCATCATCCCAAAGCCAGATAACTGAAATTTTCCTAGATGTTAACTTTCTAATGAAAGAAAAGTATGTCATTAAATTCTGTTATGCACTATTGGCCAGCACAAGATTTTAAGAACTTATTTAGAAGAAACATGTATTCGTATCATTTTCTGCAAGTCTTCTTTTCCATGACAGATTTCTCTAGATATTATCATTTCCAATTGCTTAATCTCCTTGGACTTACTGGAAAAAGGAAGCAATTTCAAGTGAGAGGTGGGACTACATGATGTCCTTAATCAAGAAGTTTCCATGAAACATTTTTAAGAAGGGAAAATGTAGAAATGAGTTTCACATACATGTATTCCTCAAAAAGTAAAAAATTTTAACCACATAATTAAGGTTAACATCACTAGTGATGTCATGTGATACCAAGTACCCCTTGATAGAATGTGATGAAAAGAACAGTTCACCTCCATGGTATTTCTCCCCAAAACACATAACCCCAGTCTCATCATGAGGAAATCATCAGACAAGCCTAAACTAAGGGCTGTTCTATAGGTTACCTGACCAGTATTCCTCAAATCTGTCAAGGACAAAAAAATAAAAAAATAAAATAAAAGATATAGAACCTATCGCAGGTCAGACACTAAGAAGACATGATAACTAAATGCAAAGTTGTATCCTGAATTGGAACCTAGAACAGAAAAAGGACATTAATGGAAAAATTGATGAAATCTGAATAGTCAAGAATTTAATGAACAGTAATGGACCAATATAGGTTTCTTAGTTTGACAAATATGCCATGATATTGTTAGAGGATGATATCAAAAGAAACTGAAACTGGGTGAGAAGTATACAGGGACTCTCTGTACTATCTTTACAACTTTTCTGAAAATCTAAAGTTATTTCAAAATTGAAAGACTTCTTTAAAAAAGAGTAGTGTTGAAGAGTTCTGTCTCTGGTATGTCAGAATGAAGTCTTAACAGACTGACCACCCTAAAGATCAGCGGTCCCCAACTTTTTGGCACCAGGGACCCATCCTCCTATGAGAATCTAATGCCTGATGACCTAAGGTGGAGATGAGGCGCTAATGCTAGTGCTGGGGAGCGGCTACAAATACAGATGAAGCTTCGCTCCCTCACCTGTCACTCATCTCCTGCTATGCAGCCTGGTTCCTACCAGGCCACGGACTGGTCC